ATGATTGGAGTAGAGCCATAGGTCAGCTAAAGGAAGTAAAAAGCAAAGATTGCTGTGAGCCTCTGAAAATCTGAACATACAATTGAATCTTTGGGTGTCCTTGAGCTTATATAGTAAAACATGCTCCAAATATTTGTGCTTATTTCCAAATGTCTATGGAGATTCTCAGTCATCCAGGTTATGGTTGTCCCAAAGTTGCTTTTTCAAAAGGCAACTGGACTTTCTGGTTTTTCTTTGAAGATGTTTTGCTTCTCATCCAAAAAGCCACCAGGCTTGAGATTTTGGGTTTAGACAATTTAGAACTATGCCACCTTCGGTCTGACCTAAGCATAGTACACAAAATGATCTGCTAAAACATCCTACCAGTCAATAACTACTTCAGCTTCAACTGCAATAATACACGAGCACACGATAGATACAAACTTAAGGTAAACAGTTCCAAACTCGATTGCAGTAAGTACGACTTCAGCAACAGAGTCGTCAATGCCTGGAATGCACTACCTGACTCTGTAGTTTCTTCCCCAAATCCCCATAACTTTAACCTTAGACTGTCTACTGTTTACCTCACCCCATTCCTAAGAGGTCTGTAAGGGGCATGAATAAGCGCACGAGCGTGCCTACTGTCCCCATTTCTTCGTATCCATTTCATGTCTTCATAATTATGTTTATATTATATTTGTTATCTTATACATGCTTGACAAAATAAAATAAATAAAATGAATAAAAAATAAAATAAGCTTCTTCAGTTCTGATTGGATGGTGGGGACTGGATGGTGTGGAATATAGTCCTTGCAGACAGCTAACACATGGCACAATATAGGAGAACAAAAACATCAGGACTAGATTCAGCAATCCATCTGCATTTAAAAGACAGAGGCCACTCTTTTGAAGATAGCAAAGTCCATATATTGGACAGAGAGAACCACTGGTTTGAAAGAGGGGTCAAAGAGGCCATGTATGTCAAAATTGAGCAGAGGTCATGTATGTCAAAATCTAAACAGAGAGGGAGGGATACGATATCATCTATCTCTAGTCTACAACACAATCCTCTCAACAGTTCCAAGAAGGCCCCACATCCATTTGCACTGCTCAGGTGACCCTGATGACCACAGATAAACCTCCAGGTGGTCTTAACACCTCACTAAAAGAATGCAAATAACCAGCTGTCCACAAGGAGTCGGCAAAGACCATCTGCAAACCCCTGTTGGGTTTGTTCTCCTATTTTGTGCCATGTGTTAGCATGGAATAAACATCCTTTCATTCCCCACCCATCCAGTAAGAGCTGAAAAAGCTTCTTGGGTGACAAGCAAAATGTCTTTAAAAAACCCAGTAGGTCCAGTTTCCTCTTGAAAAAAGCAACTTGGGACATTTCTTTCCAAACATATCCAGGATATAGGAGTGAAAGCAATATTTTTGTGGAAGAACTCTCATTGTGTTTGTTGTCTTTGTAAAGAAATGTAAAGCACACACATGCACACATAAATAGTAGAACTGTACTAGAAAAGGAAAAAATTAATGCTGAATCTGAATTTGGTGTCTGGAATTGCAGAATATTTACCTATGCCAAACACATTCGGGTCAAAGTTGTCGTTAATCATGATAATTTGCCAATCCAATCAAGAAGAAATGAATGTCTATGAGTCCAAAATCTCTTTTCCTTCTTTCTACTCCAATCTTTCCAGAATATTTTGGAGATGCTATTGGCCTACAGAAGGAAGCATCCATGGATGCCCAAGACACTTAAAACACCATAGCTATTGTCTTCTTCAATATGCCAAATTTCTCTGCTTTTCTACTGGATAAAGTTGTTGGATTAGAAATAAAGGGCAGTTTCTCAAGGCTTAGAGGACATAGAGACTTTATTACACCTGGAGGAGGATCCCTAAGTATTGAATTTAAGCAGGTTGATTTTCTTCTTATTTTGAAATAGACACACAAGCCAGTTCTTTTCTCCACTTACTATTTAGATAAATCTTCAAAACTTCCTTAATGGGTATCTATCAAAAAGTTATATACAATGTGAATATGTTTTTTATCATAAAAGCTAACACTCTAAGCTTGTTCAGGTAGTCAGTCATCACTCTTACCTGAGGAACTTTGTAGATGTTCAGAATAGTTGCCCCATGGAGACAGATGTCAGGTCCCATAAGGACGGCGGCCAGATTTTTGGGGACCCCACATTTGTAGTTAGGAATGAATCTGCCCTGGGTGAAGGGAAGCCCCATGGAAGCAAGGTAAGTCCAACCTGGACTAAAATGGCTATTATAGATGTGAAAGCCCAGTGTGACATTGGGCAGGATATGAGTATTTTCATTGATCTCCTTGATCACAAACACTAAAGCCAGAATGTGCTGGTAGTTTTGATAAAATATTCTGTAACAAGAATTACATAATACATTTAAAAGGATCTGTTTCAGATGATGACATGTCCAATCTTCCAGACTTATATCTCGAAGAAAGAAACTCAATTTTCCTACAGTAATAGCAATTTAAATATTAAACATAGGTAATACAGTTCCTTAAGATTTTAGTTGTATGTATATCACGTACAGAAATCTATATTATCTACCTAGAATGAATTAGATATAATTTGTCATAATGGACTTCTGACCTACATTGAAAATACATCAAGATATCATATGTTTGAAAAAAAGGTGTTTCTTGGTTTTGTTATTATAGCTCAGAGGAAAAAATTCTGAGCATCATATAATTAAACAGTTGGACTCAGAGCTGCAAAAATCAATCTATTAGGAACATACATAAGTCCATCTTGAAGCTCCTGAGAAGGATGTCGTCTGAAATCAGGGGGATCAGAAAATGACAAGATCACAGAAATGATGCTACCAATGCTAACTTCTCCAAGCTGATGATATGTGTGACGAATTGGAGCAGGCTCATCATGGTCACATTGAACATTAGGATCTTGGCATGCCACTTGAGGCATTACTGTCAACAGTGATGCCATCAATGCTACCATTAACCATAGAAGTCTTCTTTTGGTATACAAATGTCCCTGTCTGCAACATGATTCTTGAAGGTGCCCAAGTAGAACAGTCTGACATGACTTCATCAGCTGTTTTTCAGGCAGAGATAGACAGTAATATCGACCACTGTTTATACTCACAGACTTCTAAAGGCTTCTAGTTTCAATGTCATGGGAAACATTAACGATGCTGTCATGGTCAGGTTATCGTTTTGCCTTGAAGTCCCATAGGATTTGGAAAATATAAACAGGTTAATTTCATAATGATAGAGAGACCAGCATCTGTATAGAGATTTTTTACATTTACAACTCAAAAAAAAAAAAAAAAGTGAGGGACTTCTCAGAAAGAAGTGATGGAAAAAAGAATGAAATCACTTATGTATCTATATCAGTGTAGAAATATGGAAACAGAAATAGAAGTAGATAATAAAGCTGACACAGCTTTAAGAGTAGAACTAAGAATTACAAGGGTAGAAGAGAGGATGTTTATTTTTAATTATTAGCTAAAACTACTCTTTAACCCAACAGGCCTCATATTAACAGAAATAACTTCTAATTTAACTGTAGTATATACATAGGAAGTCACTCTTCCAGCTTAACTGTTGAAGTGAAGTGACTCTTCAATAACTCTTCCAGCTTAGGAATTACAAGCACAAGTGCTCCTATCATCATCAAATCATTTCGACCTTTAATTTCCATATGCTTTCTAATTCCTTCTTCAAGCCCTGGTACTTCTGCAGATTCTCACATGCTTTCTTGGTGTTGCTGCTATTTGGCACTGCTACATCTATCACCATTATTCTCTTCTGGCCCTTGTCTATTACCACAGTGTCTAGTTGATTGGCCAGCACCTACATGCCTTCTCTACCTGGAAATCCCACACAACCTTAGCACTCTGCCCTCTGATCACAGCTTGCAGGTTATGAATCCCACTTCTGACACTAGATTCCTGTGGAATCAAAACTCAGAACCTAAAGCAAGTAATCAACATGTCCTGATGGATTCCCACCAAAGAACATTGAGAGAGACCCCACCCCACAAAAGGATGCACTGATGTTTATACATCTCAGAAAGAAGGAGGACACTAATGCATAAGATGTAAAGCCATCCCTATATATATACTGATAGGTAAAGGATCTCAGTTTATTATAGGTAATGGAGCTCATTACCTATAGTAGGTTGATACCTACAATATAGGTTGATTGTGCCTGTTTATTATCAGAAACAAAAGGAAGCAATGAAGCAATAAATGATGGCAGAAATAAATAAATCAATAAAATGGGGGGGGGGAATCCCCCATAAATCAAGAGGAAGGGACAGTTTGGGAATGTCAGATGCCAAAGGGAAACATCTACCATGGCAAATCAAAGGGATTCTTGGAAAACATAAAGAGATAAAATGCTGCAGTCTGTTATACACTGTATATATCCTCTAAAATTGGTTTTCCCACAGTACAGTATTATTTTCCTACTTTCATGAATATACTCTTGTTTTTCCTTGTTATACAGATAGTCCTTGACTTATAACCGTACATTTAGTGAAATTCAAAGTTGCAATGTCATTGGAAAAAATGACTTATAACTGTTTTCCACATTTTTGTCCATTGTAGCACCCCTGTCCTGATGTAATCAAAATTTTGATGCCTGGAAATTGACTCATATTTATGATCATTGCAGTGTCCTGGAGTCATGTGATAACCTTTTGTGACCTCTGACAACCAAAGTTAATGGGAAAGCCAGATTTACTTAACTGTGTTACTAACTGAACAACTGCAATATGTCAGGGTTCCAAGTAACACCCCCAACGAAATAAAACGCTAAGGCTTAAAGTTCCTCAAAGCTAACTTTTATTAGAGATGTCATATTGGCACATCTGGGAAAACCCAAATCTGAGAGCTGTAGAATCTGTACCAAATGTGAATCAAAAAGATTTTTTGAATAAAATTACCGATTTGTTGCAAACTGAAAGGGTAGGGAAGGTAATTATTGCTGGTGATTTTAATTTAATTAGAAACCAGATGGATAGTACCAATCCTACCCGCTATGGTGGAATAAGAAAAGTGGGGATACTTGATAATTGGATGTTGCAAAATGGTGTAGTAGATGTTTGGACGGAGATTAAAGGTAATGAAAGAATGTATACTTTTTACTCAAAGGTATTTAATTCATATTCAAGAATTGACTATATTTTTGTATCCAAGAATCTGATGGATAACGTGGATAATATGGATGTTGGAATATTTAAAGACTCTGACCATGCAGAATTGTTACTAGAATTAGATATGTTTTTGGAGAAAAAAGAAAATTGTTGGAGATATGATGGAAAATTGTATAAAAACGAGGAAGATAAGAATCGTATTCTTAAGAAATGGGAAGAAAATTGGGATTGGAATGATAATGGGGAAGTCAATTATGGAACAGTTTGGGACACAATGAAAGCAATTTTTAGAGGAGAAAGTATTAAATTATCAAGTAGGAAGTATAAGAATTATAAAGTAAAAATAGAGGAAAAGAAGAAATTGATAAAAGAACTGGAAAATAGATTCCTAGTGACTAAGGATAGGAAATTATGGGAGGAACTTAAAAAATTGAAAAATAAACAAATAGCGGAAAATACAGAAATAGTTAAAAAAAATTAAGCTAGTAAAAAAGAGAATTTTTTGAATATGGTAATAAAAATTCAAAATTATTAGCAAGAATGGCGAAAGATAAAAAAGAAAAAAGAGAAATAGGTGTCCTAATAGATGAAAAAGGTAAGAGATGTTATAAAAAATTAGAGAAATGTGAAATTGTTAAAAAGTTTTTTCAAGAATTATATCTTAAAAAAGAAATTGATAATTGTAAATTAAAAAATTTCTTAGAAAAATATGGTCAGAAGAAAATTGATAATAAATATAAAGAAAAATGGAAAAGGATATTACCTCTGAGGAAATTAAAGATGTGATTCAGAAGCTAAAACTTGGAAAATCTCCAGGTGAGGATGGGTTACCAGCAGAATTTTATAAAGAGTTTAAAGAAACTTTGATCCCAAAACTACAGAAATTGTATAATAAGATATTACATGGAGGTGATATTCCCATGACCTGGAATAGAACAATTATATCCTTAATCCCGAAACCAGGTAAAGATTTAGAAAAGATTGAATCCTATCGGCCCATTTCCTTGATTAACCAAGATGCTAAGATATTTACTGCAATTGTAGCAAATAGATTGAATAATTTTATAGATTAATATATAAACCATAATCAAGTAGGTTTTGTTAAAGGGCGTTATATGTGTGATTTAGTTAGAAGAGTATTAAATGTTATTGATATTGCTGAGAATAATGGTGATAAGATAGGTATTCTTGCCTTGGATATTTTTAAAGCCTTTGATTCTATACAATGGGATACTATAAAAGAAATGATTTCTGCATTAGGATTTGGTAATAAATTTATTCATATTATTTCCAGATTGTACCAGAGGGGTACGGCAAGAGTGAAGGTAAATGGTACATTTACACAAGATATAAATTTGGAAGCAGGGACAAGACAGGGTTGTCCCCTGTCTCCGACCCTATTTTTATTAGCAATGGAAATTTTAACAACTTTGATTAAGAGGATTCAGAATTAATAGGTTATAAAGACGTCAAAGTTAATTTATATGCAGATGACACTCTTGTCATTTTAAATAATATTACAAATGATATAAAAAGAGTTCAAATACATTTGGAAGAATTTGAAGATATGACTGGTTTGAAAGTAAATTGGGCAAAATCAGAATTATTAATGGAAATTGATAGGGAAAACAAATTAGAAAAATTACAAAATCAATTTGGAATTAGGATAAAGGATAATTTAAGATATTTAGGTATTATACTTTCACTTAAAATTAAAAATTTAAAGAAACTAAATTATGACATAGTAATAACAGAAATTGAAGAGAAAATTGGGAAATATAAAAAACTTAAGTTATCTTGGTTTGGTAGAGTAGCTTTATGTAAAATGATATTACTTCCTAAATTTAACTTTTTATTCAAGATGCTTCCGATTTTTTTAACCGAGAAGGACATTGAAGTATATCAAAAAAAATTAGATAAATTTTGTAATGGGGATAAAAAACCAAGATTGATTAAGAAAATGTGGTATCAGAACCAAAAACAAGGTGGTTTAGGAATTCCAAAATTATTAAACTATTATAGAGCATTTAATATAAAAACAGTAGTAAAAATTTTAAAAGGACATGTTAAACTTTGGGGTAATTTGGAAATGAAGGAAATAAAGAAGTTTGGTTACAAATGGTTTTTGGAAAATTTTAAAGGTAAGGTTAAAATTTGTAATTATTGGTTAAATTTTTCGTCGGGCCCTGAAAACCTATTTATTTCAACTAGCTGGGCTGGCTTGAGTTAAATTTTAAATTGATTTTAAATTGGGTTGTTTACAGCCAAAATATTTAATTATTTTAAACTGTTTTTAAATTTTGTATGTCCTGTTTTTTACTTTGGCTGTTCACCGCCCTGAGTCCTATTTGGAGAAGGGCGGTATAGAAATTGAAACAAATAAATAAATGAAACAAATAAATAGTTTGACTAAAAATTGGGACAGAGTAGCAAAAAAATTAATACCAGACGTATTGTATTTAGGTAAACTGAAAGAGAATTGCCCAATGAAATTAAATAGTAACAGAGAGAGGATTATAATAGAAGAGAAAGTGGAAACAATTAGTGAATGGTTGAAATTTATAGAAAATGAAATGAGGAAAGAGGAAATTTATGGAAAATTAAAATTAATTGGTTTGAAAGAATTCAAATGAATAAATGGAGTAGGAAATGCAAAGAAAGGAATGATGAGAGTAGAAAGGAAACGGAATTTGAAAATTTGACATCTCGAATAATAAAAGATGAAATTGGGCCAAAGGGATTAGTTAGTAAAATTTATAAAATTATTAACTTTGATAATAATTCACAAAGGGTAATGAAAGAGAATTGGGTAAAAGAACTGGGTATTGAAATTTCTGATCAAAATTGGAATATGAACTGGGTTAGTAGAATAATGAGGACATTATCAATAAGGATTAAAGAACATAACTATAAAGTTATTTGGAAGTGGTATTTTGACCCCAATAAGACTTTTTCAAATGGATAATAAAGTGGATAAAATGTGTTGGAGATGTAAAGTGGAACTCGGGACATATGCTCATATGTGGTGTAAATGTAATGGGGTTGAACTTTTTTGGTCTAGGATAGAAAATGAAATATTTCAAATGATTAAGAAGAGGGTCAAATTGAAATTGGAAACCATATTATTATTAATATTGAATGAAACAACATTAACAACTGGAGAAAGAGAATTGGTGAGGATTTTGGTTATAATGGGGAGAATTATAATTGCTAGATATTGGAAATTAAATGTTGACTTAAAATTAGAAGAATGGTACAATGAAACATGGAAATTTGCATTAAATGATAAATTGACTTGTGATATTAAAATTAGAAGTGGTATATATAAAGAAAATCTTATTCTCAACACTTGGCAACCATTTGTGGAGTTTGCACTTGGGATATTGGATGAATCGGCACCAGTACCTTATCAAAGAGATTTCTGGAAGAATTGAAGACTTCAATTTCCTAAAACTTCCTTTCTGTTTGTATAGCACGTTGGGGGGAAAAAAAAATTCTTTCCTTACTATTGATTTTTGTATTGACTTTTTTTTTCCTTTCTGTTATTCTTTAACAATAAAAATATAATATATATTTTTTAAAAAAAGATAGATGATAGATAGATAGATAGATAGATAGATAGATAGATAGATAGATAGATCATTATGGTCTTTGGTCAGCACAACTTCGAATAAAGGATGAAGCAGAAGGAAAAATACATTTAATTTCATTTCATCAAATTTTTCCATGTTATTGAAATATAGAAACAGGTTGCAATGAAAATAGATTTATGGATAGAGAGCAAATGGTTATGACCCAGCATGGAAATCTTTTGTAAAATGCAGTTAAATGTATGGGATTCACAAAGTCAATACGTTTTCATTTCGAAGAAGCCTAACAAATCCAAAACTGATATCCTATAATACTATGTTAAATATATTTTCATAAAATGGTAGTTAGCTTTTGCCATATTTAAGTAGTGCCTTATGAATTGTAAGCATAAAAACCATGAAAATGTCATTACAAACATTGAACATTGTTTGACTCAATAGCTGAAATATCCTGTTACTTGTTTAATTATTCTGGTCAGGCCCAATATAAAAGACTGAAGCCTTTCTTATAACAAAGGTATTTATTTCTTGTCTTCCTCAGGAATATATTTGGACAGCCCAGGTTCTGACAGGAGCAACAACTTATATACAGAGGAGGCGGGGCAAAAGGTAAGTAGGAACCAATGAAAAAGATCATGACATCACACAATAACATATATACAAATATACATATTTACAGAGAACAAGTTAGGTATTTTCAATTGTAACAAATCCCCCTCTAAAATACCTAACCAATAGTAAAATATTAATATTATATATGTACATTAAGTTTAGAAGTTAAATATACATGTTGTTTGGTTGCTAAGGGTTTAGTGAGAATGTCAGCAATTTGTTCACTAGTATCGCAATGAATAGCTTTAATAAATCCTATACTTGATAATTATCTCACATGTTTGTATTTGATATCGATATGTCGAGATCTTTGGCCTATTGCCTCGGAAGCTGATATATCTATTGCTGCTTTATTATCTTCATTGATGATAATTGGATAAATAGGTTCATCCCATATATTAGATAACAAATCATCAAACCAGGTTAGGTTATTGACTGCTTTAGATAGACAAACGTATTCGGCTTCTGCTGTAGAGGTGGCAATTAAATTTTGTTTGCCAGTGTACCAATGCACCGTACAACCATTTATAAGGAAAACATAACCAGAGGTGCTTTTTTGGCTCTTTGGCTCACCAGCCCAGTCTGCATCAGCGTAACAGGTCAAAGTTGGCTTTTCAGAAATGAATGGTTCTAAATATAAACATACATCAACGCTAGATTTCAGATATCTCAGAATTCTCTTGATTCCTTCCCAATGGTATAAGTTAGGATTACTTACATGTCTTGACAACAAATTAACGGCAAGGGTGATATCAGGTCTGTTCCAATTAGATATGTATAATAATGACCCAATACTTGATCGATATAAAGTGTTTTCTTTGAATGGCTCGTGTTCATTGTGCATGTTTCTATGGAAGTCAGTTGACATGGGTGTCTCGCAAGTTTTTGAGTTTATCATATTGCACTTTTGTATGAGTTCTATAATTTTTTCTTTTTGGGACAATTTGAACCCCTTATCGGTTTTATCAATTTGGACTCCTAAATGTTTGTTTACCTTTCCTAATATTTTTAAGTTGAAATGTTTACCCAATTGTTCAGCAAATTCATCACATTTGATTTTATCATGTCCAAAATACAATATGTCATCAACATAGATCAAAACATATTCAATAGAATTATTATTTCTTTTAGTGAAAAAACATAGATCAGATGAAGTAGCTATAAAACCCATATCTTTAAGTATTTTTGACAGACATTCATACCATTGTTTACCAGATTGTTTTAATCCCTAAAGACTCTTATTTAATAGCCAAATCTCTCCCTTTTTTGTATTCTTTCCTGGGAGTGCCTTTACATATATTTCTTTATCAAGATCAGCATGTAGATATGCAGTTTGTACATCAAACTGATATACGTCTAAATTTAAAATGGAAGCTAGTACCAATGTGGTCTTAACACTTTCTGATCTAACTGTTGGAGAGTATGTGTCCTCATAGTCATCAGGGAATCTTTGGGCAAACCCTTGAGCTACTAACCTAGCTTTATATAGGAATTTGCCATCTTCTAGCTCTTTGATTTTAAATATCCATTTAGTGCTAATGGGGGACTTTTCTATGGGTAGATCTGTTGGTGAGTATACGTTTAGTTCCTTCAAACTATCCATCTCCTTTTTCATTGCTTCCTCCCACTTATTTTTTTCTTCTAGAGGTAATTTAAGTATATCATCATATGTATTGGGAGTCAGATATTTTGCATGGAGAGACAGTATGTAATCATCTAATCTTTTAGGAATTGTACCCCTATTAGATCTAATGGGTCTATCCGGAGGTTGTTCATTGCTATGCATATATTTAGCTTCTCTTTCAGTTAGTGGGTCTACTTTCAATATGGGATGTCCTTTCTTCCATTCATCATTAATTATTTTTGGGTATTTGGGTTTGTTTGTTGTTATAATTTTGGGGTTGGTATCTGGTGAATAATGTTCTGTGTGTGTGTGTGTGTAGTGTTTTTTGATTCTGGGTATATCTCGTTGAGGTGTATTTTTGACCAATTTGCATGTTCATGGAACACGGCAGATCTGGATACAATGAAATGGTTATTTTTATCAATGAAGCGATATCCCTTGGTTCCTGATTTGTACCCCATGAATATTAGTCTTTTGGATACTTTCTCTCCTTTGTGTCTCAGTTGTGTGGGTACATATACATCAGCAGTTACGCCAAATATGTATAAATGTCCAATTTTTGGTTTTTTGCCATACATGAGTTCATATGGAGTTTTGTTGAGTGTACTTGGCCATAAGTGGTTTAGAGTATAATTGGAATAAGTAAGGGCCTCAACCCAGAATGATTGGCTTAAACCAGCATCGTCTAACACACATTTAACCATGGTTTGTAGCAAACCATTTTTTCTCTCTGAGACTCCATTTTGAAAGAGGGAGAAGGGACAAGATTTAAAGTGTAATATTCCTTGTAATTTTAGCCAATTTGAAAATTCGTTGGATAAAAATTCTGACCCTCTGTCGGTCATTATTTGTTTAATTTTAATATTGTGTTGAGTTTCTACCATTTTAAAGAATTCCTTAAATTTTTTGAAAACTTCACTTTTATGATTAAGGGTGTACATGAACCCAAACCTGCTGTAATCATCGACTATGGTTAGAAAGTATCTTTTTCTATATTTAATTGAAGGTTTCATTGGGCCTACAACATCCATATGAACCAGCTGAAAAATTGAATGTGTGGTGCGAGTGGCTTTTTTGGGCTTAGGTTTGTTTTTGAGTTTGGATGAATTGTATACGGAGCATTCCAAATAATTTTTACAATTTTTTATTTTTAAGTCTTCGGAACATTCTAACATTTTCCGTATAACAGGGAAACTTGCATGTCCTAGCTTTCTGTGAAGTAAATGGGTACAGTTGTCGTGTATAGGTTTACCATTGTGTAAATTTTCTGATATATTGATTTTGACAGTTGGTATATTATTATTACCCCCTTCATGACTATCTGGCTCTGCCTCTTTGTTTTTTAATTGATAGTGTGCATAGATTAATTCGTTATTTTGTGGTAGTAGATATGTTAGTCCTTCATTTGTGAATAGTTTGCCAATGTTTCTGTTGTTTTTAGTCATAAATACTTTTCCACTTTTGAACGTGGTCTCTACCTCATTTTCTATGCTTAGTTTTAGAGTTGCCAATATATTATTTGGAATTTCGGGTATAAATAGCACCCCCTCTATTTTTCCTATACCTTTTATATGCGTGTCACCTACTCCTCTTACTAGGACTTCATTTTGGTTTGCTACTTTTATGTAATATTCCTTTTCTGTGAAGTTGTTGAGTATTTTTCTATTGTGAGTTGTGTGACATGTGGCTCCAGAATCGATGAGCCATGTGTTGAGTGAATCTGATGTTGATATATCACTGTCTTTTATTCCATATAGTGATCCTTTTTTGTTTTCCCTAGGGTTGTCTCTGTATATTTGTTTTTCTTTTGAATGTGGTGATTCCCTGTGTTTATATCTGTAGTCAGGAGAAGTTCTATCTAAGAAATGTATTCTTCTATCTTTGTGATGATATGTATCACTATATCCTGCGTTCTTGGGGCAGTCTCTTTTTTGATGTCTTTCAGATCCACATATTGAGCATTCATGTGGGTATCTGTCTCTGACTCTAAAATCTGTCCTTTTTTGATTTCTACCTTCCCTTTGATGTACAGATCGTTCCTTTCTAAGTCTGTCTTCAGCAATAAGTTTATTGGTAAGGTTTTCTAAGGTAATTTGTTCTAAACTTAAGTTATCAATTAAAGTAATATAGTTATCCCAGCTGTGGTCTAATGAATTGATTATAATGCTTTTCATAGTGTTATCAGAAATATTTTTCCCCCTTTGGATAAGATCTGCTCTGGTTGCATTCAGATTTAGGATATGTTCGCTCATAGATGTATCATGTTTTAGTCTGGCAGAATAGAATTCTCTTGAAATTCTAATAGTTGTGGCTACACTTTTGCTATAAAACAAATTAAATAATTTTTGGTATGTTTCAGATACGGTTAGATTATGTTCAAGACTAGGAAGGATACTTGGGGAAATAGAAGCAATTAATATATAATAAGCCTTATGATGGAGGCAGTCTATTTCATAAGTCCAAGGTTTGTCTGGTGGATTATCAATAAAGAATAAAATGTTTTCCCTCAAATATATAATTTGTAAATACTGGCTCCATTCCATTAAGTTGCTTCCATCTAATTTTAATTTTATAAAGTCTGTAGGTAGTGTCCCAGAGTGTTGTGAGAAATTATTTATATTCAGGAGCTGTCCATGGTTTAAGACCTTAGCATACTCGTAATAAGGCTTAGGTATGTAGATGCATGTCTGTATTTACTTATCTCTATGTTTTGGCTGGATCTGTGCTGACTTGTATTTATGTCTTCTTCTTTTTTCTTTGCAGGTTCGTTCTGCACATGCTCAGTCCTCATTCTTCCCCAACAGTTGACGAGAGAGGATCCTGTGCCTGCAGCTCCCGGGATGAAGTCCCAGTCGGCCTTCTGTTCTTCGGCTTTGTTTCCGGAGGGCCTCTGGTGACTGAAGAATGCCCAGGATGCTGTCCTGCTCGTCGGGAAGTCTCCGAAGTCACGGCGATCGAAGAAAAATCCACCGGAGGCTTGTCGGCCATGTTCCTCGATGCGGTCAGGAAGCGGAGCTCGAAGCGGGCTGTCATTAGCGGTGAAGTCGGGTCGCTCAGCAAGGTGTTCTTCGGCAGGTAAGTATGGTTGCCAGTGCGTCTTTTCTCGGGTGACTAGTTCTTCTTTTAGATAGTTTAGTTCTTTTTGACTTTTGATAGGTGTTAGTTTAGAATTTTCTTTTTCATTTTCTGATTGTTTGTTTGGTATTTTTAGTTTAGTCCCGAATGCTGCAGTTAACACCTGCATGGCATTATCTATTTCAAGTTCAGTAGGTTGAGTGTTGTATTGGTTAAATAGTTGTTTTTTATTTATTTCTGGACTCGGGTAGGCATCTTCTTGGTAGGTTTTGTTTCCCGCTTTGTAATTTAAAATTTGGGATTCCTTTAATGATTGGTCGGCCATTTTGGGAGTATTAGGTAGATAAGATGGCCACAATGAAAAAGGCGGGAAACCAATGCTAGCTTCATTGTTAGTGTAGTAGTCAGGAGTTGACTTTCTTACCGTGGATTTTTTATGTTCGATCTCTTCATCTGATGCTGCTCCGTGATTGTTTGCTAGGCTGTGGAGTTTCGCGATCAGACTTGAGTCATCTGGAGTTATTTTTATTAAGTCTAGTATTTTTCTTTTTATGTCACCTTCCCTGTTTGAGGCTGAGGGAGTGATTTCTGTTTCATCTATCTATTTTTTGGAGTTTGTCAAAAATTCTTTTTCTTGACAAAATTCATACTTTTCTATTTTTATATAATACTTTCAATGAAAAGCTATTTGATACTTCCTAATTTGATATTTATGCTGCACATAATCTATCCATTTTTTCCATTCCCATTCATAAGTCTCTTGTGAGCGATCCTTTAAATATGCTGAAATCTTCGCCATCTCCGCAAAACTGGCCATCTTCAAAGTCCATTCTTCAATAGTGGGTAAAGCTTCATTTTTCCAATATTTACCTATCAATAATCTCGCTGCTGTTATCATGTACAATATCAACTTAGTTTCATCCAATGTAAAACTCTTTACTATACCCAATAGAAACAATTGTGGAGAGAATTGAATTTTTTTCTTCAAAACATTCTGCATAACCCACCATATTTTTATCCAAAAAGCCTTAACTTTAATAAGTTTATTTATAAGGGGGTTTGAGGGGTTCAAGTTTTATAAAAAAGGGGATTTTGATGGGATTATATTCTGTGGAAGTCAGGGGGGAGGGTTAGGGGGGGTTGGGGGGGTTAGGGGGGGACTGTGGGGTGGATTGGGGGGAAAAATGGGGTGAAAATGTAATTGTAAAACTTTTGCAATAAAAAAAAAGAAATTCCTTTTCTTGGAATTGAGTATATTTCTTCACTTCTTCAGTTAGTGTGTTTTTGTCAGGAGTCAGCTGGGCTGCCATTCTTTTTGTTATATATCTAGTGGCAGGTCTTCTTTTGTCTTTTTGTGATTCTTGCATTTTTATGTTTGGTTGGGCCTACCAAACCATCCTCTTGCTACCAATTTGTTACTTGTTTAATTATTCTGGTCAGGCCCAATATAAAAGACTGAAGCCTTTCTTATAACAAAGGTATTTATTTCTTGTCTTCCTCAGGAATACATTTGGACAGCCCAGGTTCTGACAGGAGCAATGACTTATATACAGAGGAGGCGGGGCAAAAGGTAAGTAGGAAACCAATGAAAAAGATCAAAATGACATCACACAATAACATATATACAAATATACATATTTACAGAGAACAAGATAGGTATTTTCAATTGTAACATATCCTAACAGGAACCAAGACACCTAGTTCAAAATGAGTGTTGAAAAGGGGAAAGGATTAGGTTATAGAATCTTGGAAAATGGTGAAAATATAGCAACTTAGACTTAGACTAACTTTATTGTCACTTTAAATGTATACTAATTGGCATACATTAAAATGAAATTTCATTGCATACAGCTCTCAAAGGGTCACCACTTCTAATATACACCATGTAAACATGACAAAATAAATAAATACAAAATTATGCATATGCCCTCATACATATATTATATGACATAGAGAAACAACACATTTAGTTTGGATGCACACATGTACACTTGGGTTACTAGTTCCTCTTCATCAGTTGCTCTCTGTGGTTTAGGTCAGGTCTGAAAACAACAATGTAGCACTTTGACAGAAATATGCATCCCAGTAATGCAGTGCTAGAGGACAAGATGGAGAAGACCTCCACAGCTACCATGGCTTTGCCTTTTGTGCTCAGATAGGCTGGAAAGAAGGAGACCCACACACTGCAAAAGGCCAACGTGCCGAAGGTGATGAACTTGGCTTCATTAAAGCTGTCAGGTAAGTTACGGGCAAGAAAAGCCACAATAAATCTGGCAATGGCCAAGATACCCATGTAGACCAAAATACAGTAGAAAAAGAAAGCTGACCCCTCAATGCATTGTAAACTCATTTCTTGGAGCTCTGACTGTATGTCCAACTCAGGGAATGGGGGAGATGTTGACAACCAAAGAATACAAATCCATACTTGGAATAGAGAATAAGAAAGGATAGTCCAAAAAGCCAATGTTTTCCCTACCCATTTCCTCATTGGAGATCCTGGTTTAGTAAGCCATGAAAGCCACAACCACTGTCATGGTTTTGGCCACTACACTAGAAATGGCCATGGAGAAAGTGACACCAAACATTCATTGTCAGAGGAGGCAGGTCACTTTGCCAGCTTGGTTGAAGAAGAGCAAAGAGAAGAGAAAACAGAGCTGAAGAGAGACAAGCAGTGTTTAGGTAAGGGACAGATTGTTGGCTTTGACAATGGGAGTATCTCTGTGCTTAATAAAAGTTCCAAGTACCCAAGATGTCAAGAAGAAACAAAGAGCTGCTGAGGCTAAACCAATTACTGTTGTTGTTAGTTTTGAAGTCATGTCCGACCCATCATGACCCCATGGACAACATTTCTCCAGGCCTTCCTGTCCTCTACCATCCTCTGGAGTCCATTTAAGCTCACGCCGACTGCCTGAGTGACTCCATTCAGCCACCTCATTCTCTGTTGTCCCTTTCTTCTTTTTCTCCAAATCTTTCCCAGCATTAGGCTCTTCTCCAGTGAGTCCTTCCTTCTCATTAGGTGGCTAAAGTATTTGAGTTTCATTTTCAGGATCTGGCCTTCTAAAGAGCAGTCGGGTTGATCTCCTCCAGGACTGACTGGTTTGATCGCCTTGCAGTCCAAGGGACTCGCCAATTCCTAAGGCTTCTTCAAAGGTTAGAAACACCACCAGTTTCAGGATACATCCTTTCTTTTCTTTATTTGGATAATGATCTTCTGAACATTCAAAACAGCCATCCATATCTGGAAGGAAAATCAAGGAATTTGTCACCTAGACATTTCAAATTATTGAAAATCACCTTATTATTTGTATGCATCCAAGTAGTTTATTAAAGTTTGCTTAAGTCTCATGTAAATTGGTAGAATGCCTAACCTATCATTTTGATTTGAAATCTTCCCTTCTGGGCATGGAACACAATCATAGCACAGAACTGATCTCCCTCAATCCCTCTCTTCCAGGATCCAGGGAAACAAGGGTCATTACATCTAGAAAGTGGAAGAACCTGGTGATAATCATAAAAGGTTTTGAATTCAGAGATACTTAAAACAGTTTGTATTTTTTGTCCTTTACAGAGGGAAAATATTTTTGGCTTCCCCCCAAAAATACTGAATTCATCAACTTCATCAACAATTTAAAAATATGTAGAAATTACAATGATGTACAAAAGGTTCTGTTTGAAAGGCAAGGTGTTAAAATCATTTCACAGGGTAACAATGTCATGGAAACATGGCCTCTCTTGTGATTATAAATGGAAATGCAAATGAAATATGCAAGCATGCTTTTGTATTGTAATGTCATTTTGTCAATTTGACAAATGATTGATCATCAACAACATTGGAAAAAAAATATGCCATTGTTTATTTTAAAAAACCCAGAAATCAGATTTCTAAACAGACTGCATTCAATATGCGATCATAATGGATTAAGTAAGTTGATACCTGGTTAATAGCTGGGTTCAATACAATCATATCTTCATCCATGAATAATTCTTTCCCTTTTGGAGCCTTTCCAACTCTGAAAGGATCAGTCTGGAAAAGTGATCAAGTTGGTGATGTTGAATCCACCTGTTGCTTCCCCTTCCTCATTCAAGAACATTCTGTTTCCAGCTGAATTGTTAAAAGAAATGCCTTGAAGAAATGAATGGAGCTACTTGAAAGAGAATGAAAAAGAAAGGGGGTTGAATATGATGTAGTAGAGAGGAGAACATTGTATTCAAGTTTCATTGATGTATTCTTCCTATTCCTATAACAATTATTAAATATGTACACTTAGAAATTTGATAATTGGTATTTCATAGAAAGGTAATGGATTTTTATTAATTTGATATTATTTTAAGGAAAGATAAGAATGAACCAAAGCAGAATGAAAATAGGCTATTGGGATTAAACAAATTCCTTCAATTGTGATTCAGTAGTATAAATATATTTGATAATCTGAAATTTCCTTTAGCCAGATTTAAAAATTTGAGACTCATTCTTCAATAGATAATTGTGAGATGGAGATTATTGCAAAGCATGGATTGCTGAGATAGATAGATCGATAGATAGATAGATAGATAGATAGATAGATAGATAGATAGATAGGCAGGCAGGCAGGCAGGCAGGCAGGCAGGCAGGCAGGCAGACAGACAGACAGACAGACAGAGTGGTGGGATTCAAATTATTTATTTATTTATTTATTTATTTATTTATTTATTTATTTATTTATTATATTTCTATACCGCCTTTCTCCCGTAGGACTCAAGGCGGTGTACAGTCAAGAAAAACATAGACACACAAACACCACAAAATTGCTAATTAAAATTGCCACTTAGTTTGGTCAATTAAATAAATTTAAATTTAACAACCAGTTCTCTGCCCTAATGATTTCTTCCAACAACCAGTTCACCAAACTGCTCAGAAAGTTAGCAACCGGTTCTCCCGAAGTGGTGCGAACTGGCTGAATCCCACCATTGATAGATAGATATGTATGTGTGTGTCTATATATGCATATACAGTATGCATATGCAAACACACATGCAAACACACACAGAGAGAGGTATTGCACTACTGAAAATGCTGAATCTTTTGAAGGTTATAATATTTCACTTTTCAAATCATCCAAAATGTCATCCCTGTATGTCTATGTCAGGAGTCAGCAACCTGTGACTCTGGAGCTGCATGTGGCTCTTTCATCTCTCTGCTGTGGCTCCTTGTTGCCAGTCAGCTCAACAATTGATAGGGCTTTCGATTAGGACAGGTAGAGGAAAAAGGGCGCCGTGCTAGGAGGAGACTCTAGGGTGGGGTAACCAGACTTCCAGCCAGCAGAGGAAAAAGGACACTGCACTAGGAAAAGTCTCTATGGTGGGGAACCAGACTTTTGGTTGGCTTCAGAATTGAATGGGGTGCTTCCGGTTAGGACCTTTATGGCTCTTTGAGTGTTTAAAGTTGCCGACCTCTGGTCTATGTGGATGTGTAGTGTGGTGGAAATTCAAAAAACGGTGTTTTCACACTGAAGGGTTCTTTTAATATTCTTATTGCTGGGGATTTTATCTTTTTCTGATTCTTACACATAAAACATTTCCATTGTTTCTTCTTTAAGGTGAGTTTGAATGAAACACTATGAGCATATGATTATTTACTGTACCTTATAATTATCCAATTAGACATGATGATCTTCACTTGTTTTTCAAATCCTTGAGAGTATCAGAGGAAAATCATGAACAAAGGCTAAGAATGCTATTAATATTCCTTCAAACATTCAGAGCTGGGGCTCTAGACAGACACATTTTTCTCCCCGTGAGCACTAATACATTACACTGTCCAGTTTGGTCTTCGAAACAATTGAGAGAAACATGGCAGGCTCTGCGATTTGGAAATATGCATTTGCAATGATCGGCCACTCACCAAGAAAATATGCATTTACCAAAGTAGAAGAAGGTCCATTTGTATACAGAAGGAAGACTTTCAGTCAATATGGTGGTATTTATTGTTTCATTATTGGTATCAATGCCTGGGTAGTGTGTAAGGTCCCCAATCATAATTGCAATGTTAGTAAACCTCTCCCTATTCATCATAAATATGTTCGGTCTGGAGATCTCAGAATTTCTGGCATTATTTCTCAGCTCTATGTCTTTTCCAGTCCTGTTACTTTCATTCAACACCCTTCTCTGGAACTGCTTGATGATTTTGTGTAAGTCTTATATTTTTACCCCCAGTGTTGAATCAAATGATTCTCAAGGCAATCCCTGCTACAGCTACCATCACCCAGTAATGAACAGAATGCCTTAATCTTTTTAATCATTTAATCCTTTTGTTTAACAATTAACTTTCTGCTGTGGAAACTCTCTGTCTGAGAATATGATCTTCTGTGAATGATAATGAATAATATTATCATATATGATATCATATCATATCATATCATATCATATCACTTTGCTAACAGTGTTTTGTGTTATTATTGATAAACAATCAAGGGATAGCAGAAGGGTCCAGATTGTGTTTGACTTAAATGTATGGGGTCTAAATTTAACTAAGAATAGCTGTGACTCCCTTTTGCATTACAGGTTTCAGAAGTAACATCCTTAGCTCCTAGATACCATCCATTATTATGAAGTTGGTTTGTGATACTGTGAATTCTACATAAATGTACAATGCAAATTATATTGGTTTAAACAAAGACAGTGCTTGCTTGTTCAGAAATGTCCAAAGGAATAGAGTGTTTGCATTTACTTGGATAATAACAAAATCATTTAATTTTTTTTTATATAATTTATGAAATGCTCAGTATTAAGGTGATTAAAGCATAAATATGGGAAATATTTTTGGAACCATTTACTTTTAAAACAACATGCAGTTTTCATTGCAGGGTATTGTTTCAGAGTTACCAACACATCCTGGCCTTAGCTTTTGCTATAAAGGAAATCAATGAAAAACCCCAGATTTTACCCAATGTCACCATGGGAGTCAACATCTATAATAGCTACTTCAGTCCAAGCTGGATCTACCTTGCCTCAATGGAGCTTCTCTTTGCTCAAAATAGATTCATCCCAAATTTTAAGTGTGGCATTCAAAACAATCCAGCTGCAGTCATCGGGGGACCTGATATCTGTCTCCACATGGCAGCCATACTGGACATCTACAAAATTCCCCAGGTAAAGTGTACTTATGACACATATTAACTGAACAAGCCATTTACTGTTCTTGTAATTGTTTGGATGCCATTTTGTGGTTGAGGTTTAGGAAAGGGTATGATTGAAAAAAACAAAAACAAATAAAGCTTACATTATACCAGAAGAGAAAATTCTTGAGGAGAAATATACATAAAGTCTAAACTGGGCTAAACAGACCTGTAATTTGCTTTTTTTTTAAAAAAAAATATTTTTTATTAAACAGTTTGTCTTTAAAAAACAACACAAAAAACAACCACATATGCATAAAAAAACAAAACACGTCAAAACATAACGTATTGAACATTACATGCCGTCAATGGTAATTTTACAGAATTCCGTATCGACATACGTATTTTGCTTTTGTAGTTCTCTATTCTATCTATTTGCTTTCATTTGCAGTTAGAAAGACCAGTTTACTTGGTATTTATTTTAGGCTTCAGCAATCTAATGGCTCCATTCGGAATCTGTTTCTGGATCACAAAGCAGTGCATCATTTTATGTCTCAACTTTCTGCTTGAAGTTATAAAGTCACAAATACAAACATTTCCTCTAAAGCTAAAAGATGTCCATTTTTTAGGGGGGGGGATATTTAATTCAGATTTTGATTGCCTTTTGATTGATTGCATAATCAGTATTCATACTTGGCAAGGAGAGGGATCTGTGAAACTGGAAGACAAGTTGCTATATATTAATATTTCTGTAGGTTTAAGTATTATCTTTTGCATACAGTTACCAAAAGTCTTGGTCCCTTAGAAAATTATGGAACAGTGTGCTAAAAGACATGTTCAAGGTATGCAAGAAAATCAACCCAAATACAAAATCAGAAATTCCATGATGATGATGATGATGATGATGATGATGATGATGATGATAATAATAATAATAATAATAATAATAATAATAATAATAATAATAATAATTTTATTTCTATATCGTCCTTCTCCCGAATGACTCAGGGCGGTGTACAGTGTATTTAAAAACACAAGACAAAACAACGATTAAAAAATTTAAAATAATTAAATAGATTTGGCTCAATTTAAAACCCCAGAAATTTAAAATACCCCAATTTAAAATTATTATGTTGATAGCCCAGCCTGGCGGAACACAGCGAAACACCCGGAGGTCGGAGATCAAAATGATTAACTTTTTGTTGGCATAGGATGCCCAATCTGGATCTATGTTCTGTTGCATGAGGTTTTAAGCCTTTCAACCTCACAACCAGGGATGGTATTCACTTACTTTCCCTACCAGTTCGCAAATGTGAGCATGTGCGCGCATGCTCACAGCCTTCTGTGCATGTACTTTGCTCTCATACACGCTTTCCGCTCATGCACCTGGCCTCAAAAATGTGCCTAAATAGGACGGCATAGAGCCGGGGTGGGTGGGCAGGCCCACCTGCAATTTCCAGAACTGATTCTCCTGAACCGGTCAAACCGGCTGAATACCACCTCTGCTCACAACATTTTTTTGCTTATTGTGTTCTCTGGTGTAAAGGTTCCCATTCATTTTAATGAGAGCTTCTTCCCAGTGCAAAAGTTCTTATACATCCATAATATAGGACTGTGGTATGGAACCTTCACTAAAATTTGCTATTTATTTTTCAAATTTATTTTTCAGATGTGGTTCAGGGGTGGGTTCTACTTACCTTTACTACCAGTTCGCAATAGGATCACGTGCGCGCCGAGGTTCTGTGCATGTGCAGATCGCCTATGGCAATATCTGGGGTGGTGGGCGAAGTCTCCCGCCAGTTTTACTATGGGTTCTTGCGAACCGGTCTGAACCGGGGACAACCCACCACTGGTGTGGTTGTGTGTGTGTATACATGTGTGTGTGTTCATGTTCTTCTAGATTTGGCCTTGAGCAGTAGAGTATATTTAAGAAGAGACTGGACAATCATTTGAAATCTGAAATGATATTAGGCCTCCTGCTTGAACAGGGGTTGGACTAGAAGACCTCCAAGTTCCCTTCCAGCTCTATTCTGATTGATATGTTCAAGTCAGTTTTCTCCTAAGGGCGGTTGGCTTTACTTTTTGTCCAGATGTTTTCTATAGCAATGCATTCAAAATGCTTTCATGTCCACATGGAAAAAAAATAGAAATTGTCCAATTTGTTCATAATCATCATAGGAAGACACATGAATGTATCCATGAAAAACATCCCAACTGATTTTTTGAAAATAGGCATTATAATTTAAAAAGTGTAACATTATTTAGAGAGCAAGTTTGGTACAGGGATTAAGGCAATGGGCCTGAAATTGGGAGATGGGAATTTTAGTCCCACCTTAAGCATGAAGCTAATTGACCTTGGGCCAATCATTCTTGCTTTGCCCTAGGAAGCAGAAAATAGCAAACCACTTCTGAAATCTTGCCAACCTCTCCAGGCAATCATCAGGGGCCAACCCTGATTTCAAGGGAAAGAAGAAATTTAGCACTATTAAGATGGAAAAACAGTTTCACACATTCTTCATTCTTCTGTATCATTTTTCTCAGCTGACCTATGGCTCTGCTCCAATCATGGATAAAGAGACTCAGGCAGTTTTCTTCCAACAAATGTTTCCAAATGAATCCTATCAACATAAGGGCCTCCTCCAGTTATTGCTCTATTTTAGGTGGATCTGGATTGGTGTTCTGGCTGTGAAGGATGACAAAGGGGAGAAATTTGTACAGGAGGTGCTCCCTACATTTCCCCAGCATGGCATCTGCTTTGATTTCATAGGAGAGTTCCCCAATGTAGCTTTTTACAGTGATTTTACGGATGTGATGGAAGAAACCTACAAAACCCACTCTATTATTGCGAAAAGCACAGCCAAAGTGATTGTTTTATATGGTGCAATGGAATCCATGAACTTTTTGAAAATGTTAGTGCAGTATTCAGAGGTGGAGGATAAGTCAGTGAAGACAAAGATCTGGATCATGAATGCTGAAATGGATTTCACTTCCATTTCTATTCAAAGAGATTGGGATGTCAAATTCCTCCAAAATGCTTTATCCTTTGCAGTTCATTCAAAGGAGGTGCCAGGCTTCCAGGAATTCCTTCTACTCAGAAATCCAACCGCAGCAGAACATGATGGGTTTCTAAGGAATTTCTGGGAGCATGCATTCCAGTGCTTGTTTCACAGCTCTGACCTAGGTAATAAATATGGCACAATTTGTACAAGGAAGGAGAAGATGGCAACCCTTCCTGCATCTGTGTTTGAACTTAGCACAACTGCCCACAGCTATAATGTATACAATGCTGTCTATGCTGTAGCTTATGCTTTGGAGGCAATGCATTCATCAAAACTCAAGCACAACCTTATTGTGGGCAGGAGAGGCCCCAATCTTCAGAACCAGCAATTGTGGCAGGTAATGTTTAGAGCAGAGATATGATGCAGATCTGCAAGTTCAGTCTATGAGCCAATTAGAAGACTCACTCTACGAAAAGTAGGACATCTAAGGGCTATATCTAATACTTACACCATCTTAGACCACAGAGGACATAAGAAGCAATTATATATTAAGATGTCTAGAATTTTTAATTAGATTCTCCTTCAGTATTTATAATTGTCCTGGTCTTTGACTGAAATAAGCATGTGACTTGACTATATTAACACTACAATCTCCTTATATAGATAGACGAGTGATGGCGAACCTTTTCAGCACTGAGTGCCCAAACCATGCACGTGCATGCACCGGGACACTGGAAACCCAAGGGCCAGCTGGCTGGTGCTCATGCACACACCAGCCACCTGGTCTTCATGCGCGCCGGAGCGCTGGAAACCCGAAGACCAGGTGGCCTGCACATGCATGAGCACCAGCCAGTTGGTTTTCAGGTTTCCAGTGCTCCACCATACATGAAGAACATCTGGCATGTGTGTTGGAAACCAGAAGAGCAGCTGGCGATGGCACGCATGCCCACAGAGAAAGCTCTGTGTGCCACCTTGGTACCCGGGCCATAGGTTTGCCATCATGGGAGTAGATCATTGGTTTGATCAAAACTTTGGAAAAATAATTGAAGACATCCCCTGCATTTATAACATCTCTAGTGCCCTTCAGACAAAAAAAATATATCCAGATACTCATTACTATATGGCTCACACACTGAAGGAGAAAATGAACACATAATAATAAGAGCATATCATTACATACAAATGTTTGGAAATTGATTCTCCTCTTTCATCAGTTCCAGTGCTAGAGCTGTTGACGATACTTTAGAAATGAGGTCCTATAGTCAGGCATTCATATTTTCATATTATTTTCACTATTGCTCAGAAGAATATCTGCTGGAGACAAATGCTTCCCTCTAGGTTGAAACTCATCAGGGGAAGAAAAATATTTTAACAACCAGAATGCCCCCTTTTCCTCATGTGACATCTTCCAAGGCCTTCCATTACAAAATGATATATTGAAATATATATGTACATTTTCATGTGCTTAAGAAATTCAGAGATTAATAATGAAATATGATTTAAACATCTAATGAACTCCATATGAAATGGACTTTGACCAGAAATAGAATGATGAATGAGTCTTTCATATTTTATCTTCCCTCTCACCCTTTTCAATTTAGCTTAACTTTTTCTTGAGAAGGGTCTCATTTAACAACAGCGTTGGAGAAAAGATTTCATTTGACAAAGAAGGGGAATTCATTGGTGGATTTGACATTAATAACTGGGTCACATTCCCAAACCGGTCATTTTTTAGGATCCAGGTTGGAAGGATAGATCCTATGGCTTCCCCAGATAAATTCTTCAATATTTCTGAAGATTCCATCATGTGGCAAAAAAGCTTGAATGAGGTAAGGACTGAGTAGCTATGTTTTCTTTTATTTAAACAACAATGTACCCTATGACTATCATTAAGTGTTGTACCTTATGATTCTTGACAAATGTATCTTTTCTTTTTATGTACCCTAAGAGCATATGCACCAAAGACAAATTCCTTGTGTGTCAAATCACACTTGACCAATAAAGAATTCTAATTCTAATTAAAAACATTCTGGAATGAAATGTGTTTCTTAGCTCTTTCCCTGGAACTAGCAAATTCTCATTTTATATTAAATGTAAAATATGTTTATAATTTTTTAAAGGCTGATTTCCTAGGAGCAGAAAAAAGATTCATGTATGTCTATTGTTTGTAGATAGCTACCAAATATTTTACAAATTGCTATAATTTACATGACCAAAAAAAGCTTCTTTTTGGCTCTAATTATTTTCTTAGTCATGCACTTTGAAAACTTGGTTTTGAAATTTAGGCTGCAATCATATCTGTCTGTCTGTCTGTCTGTCTGTCTATCATCTATCTATCTATCTATTTATCTATCTATCTATCTATCTATCTATCTATCTATCTATCTATCATCTATCATCTATTTATCTATCTATCTAATCTATTTATCTATCTATCATCTATCTATCTATCATCTGTCTGTCTGTCTGTCTGTCTATCTATCTATCTATCTATCATCTATTTATCTATCTAATCTATTTATATCTATCTTATCTATTTATCTATCTATCTATCATCTATCATCTATCTATCTATCATCTGTCTGTCTGTCTGTCTGTCTGTCTGTCTGTCTATCATCTATCTATCTATCTATCTATCTATCTATCTATCTATCTATTGTGTATGAATGTATTGGGTTTTTTTTTTTAACTGTTCCCTCTACATATTCAAATTGATACCCCCTATATAATATATCAGCATGCAGGTCCCATCACTCCTATACAACTCAGCCTCTATTTTCCTGGATAGGGATGATACATAATGTGTATCACTGTTTATTTATTTATTTTTTAAAAAGCTTGATAACTTTAAGATTTGTGAAATCCAACTCCCATGTTGGCTGGGGAATTCTGAGCATCAAAGTCTACACATCTTAATGTTGCCCACTTCAGAAAAAAAAAAGAAAAGAACCCATTGATCTAGAGATAGGTTGGACAATGCAGTGGATTTTGTTTCCTAGTCAAAATGTACATAATTGTTCTGCAAGTTGTCACCTCACAAACAGGAGTTTACAGAAGTTTATTTCCCCTGAATTCATTCCCAGACTCTTATCTAACTATTCATAAAAGGCCAAAAGCACAGTTAATAGTGGAGATCTGTTTTTAGAAATAAACAGGAAACAAAAGAATAGAACAGAGTAGAGTAGAGTAGAGTAGAGTAGAGTAGAGTAGAGTAGAGTAGAATAGAATAGAATAGAATAGAATAGAATAGACTAGACTAGACTAGACTAGACTAGACTAGACTAGAATAGAATAGAACAGAATAGAATAGAATAGAATTTTTATTGGCCAAGTATGATTGGACACACAAGGAATTTGTCTTTGGTGCATATGCTCTCAGTGTACATAGGAGAATAAAATACTTTCATCAAGAATAAAAAGATACAACACTTAGTGATAGTCAAGGTTACTAATAAGCTATCAAATCGTACTAGGAAACAGATAAAAACAATATAAATTGAAAGATACAAGCAACATGGTTATAGTAATAAGTGGGAAGAGGTAGATACTAGTAAGGAAGAGAAGAATAATAGTAATACAGTCTTAGTAAATTATTTGACAGTGTTGTGGGAATTAGTTGTTTAGCAGAGTGATGACATTCAGGAAAAAAACTATCCTTGTGTCTAGTTGTTCTGGTGTGCAGTGCCCTTATAGTATCGTTTTGAGGGTGGAAGTTGAAACAATTTATGTTCAGGATGTGAGGGGTCTGTAGATTTTTTCACAGCCCTCTTTTTGACTCATGCAGTATACAGGTCCTCAATGGAAGGCAGTCTAAAGTATAAGTACAAAGATCTGAAAAGGTGCTTTCTTTCAATGAAGCTTCAAATGAAACTTACCTTCATATGTGCAAAAAAACCCAAACAAAACCAAAAGGGTTCCCTCATTTGTGAGATTAAAGCAAGGTGACCCTGTGTTTTATCTTCTCTGTTTGGGGGTTCCTCTCAAGTCTCCTTCCCAGTACTCAAATATCAGGAGAGGTCAAAATCAATTTTTGCCTCCTCAGTTCTGGGTGATCTGCTTCCAAGCTTACTGGCTTCAGCAAGTATGCAATGAAGATGGCTCTTTTGAAGCTGTCTCCATTTGCTGATAGTCTTCTAGGCTGGCCTGCTTTAACAAACCCTGAAAGATTGCTTTCACCATGAACTAAAGGGAGCCATCCTGGAACCTTTTTAGTATCTGCTGACATTCTGCTTGGTTGGATAGCTTTGGTGTGAACTTCAGGCATGCACTTAAGCCATCTGGAATAGAGTCATCCCTGCCTGCTTACCAAAAGCTTTGGTTAGCTCTGTAAAGGAGAATTACTTGCCTTCTTTTTATACAGGTAATACTGTGCTCTACAGGTAAGCCATATGAAGAAGGTGAGAAACACTTCTCTATTAGTTGGCTAACGTTCTGATCAGTACTGCAGTTGAGATGTCATTTGTGTTGTGACCTAGGCTCACTTAGTCATTACAAGACACAATTAGTCCCAAACAAACCTATTTTATTATAACAGTTGAGAATTACTTCATTTCCAGCTGAGTCCAAATTAATTGCAAACCAAGTCTTTCAGAATAAGTCCTTCAGCTTATCACAAACCTTTATCTTCTTTGGCACCCTGCCAAAGGCCTTTCTTGGCAAAGCCCCATGAAGTTCAGAAACAAGAGGTGCCAACTGGAAACAGATTTAGCAATATTGCTTTCCTACAAAGAGCCTAAGAGCCTTTGCTGCTCTTTTAAACCTTACTCCCGAGTCGTCCCTTTTGCTTTAGCTGCTCTTGCCTTCTGGCAGCTCTGCTCATGCGTGCACTAGGAATAGCTCCTCCTGTTCCTCTGCCTCTCTGCTGTCTGACTCTGGAGCTCTGGAGTCTGTGCATCACTCCCAGATGGCCCTGGCCCCATCTCTGCCTCCGATGCAGAGCCTTTGTCTGGGCCTTCCCCAGAATCCAGGACTGGCCCATTGTCCTCCCCAGCCTCCTCACTATCTGACTCCACTGCCAGCTCCGCAGACTGCTGGTGGACCACAACAATTTGTCTAAAGCTTGGCCTTCTTTGTGACATCAGTCAGAACTTTTGGTGATGTCTCTGAACCTTAGTTTTCCAGGTGTAGGAAATTAGCACCCACCCCTCTCCTAGAAAAATAAAATATTAGGAAATATTAAAAAGGCAGAATATTATACCTCCCTGGATAAGAAATGGAGAAACATGTTTTTAGGCAGGAAGCAGACTCACTCTTAATAGCCCCCACACTCTCAATAGCCCACAGCAGATGTCAGCACTTAAGAGATAAAGAGATAGCTAGATCTATTCATAAGCAAAGGCCCTCACCCCAGATCCAACAAAGGTAGGATTAGCCCTCTACCCATCTAGCAACAGAACTCACCACATGGCACCTGGGGAGATTACATCACCCAGCAAGATTCAACCACATTTGGGTCTCAAAAGACAACCTACAAAGTTGGTGCCCTGGTGGCGCGGCAGACTAAAGCACTCTTATTAACATCAGCTGCCTGCAATTACTGCAAGTTCAAATCTCACCAGGCTCAAGGTTGACTCAGCCTTCCATCCTTTCTAAGGTAGGTAAAATGAGGACCCAGATTGTGGGGGCAATAAGCTGACTTTGTATGAAATATACAAAAAGTATGAAGGCTATTGCTTAACGTATTGTAAGCCACCCTGAGTCTCCAGAGAAGGGCGGCATATAAATCAATTTTTTTTAAAAAAAAGTTACCCATGGCCCCATGGGAATCTGACAACCAATCAGAATACAAACTCAAATTCAAAGCCCAGCGGAGGATATAAATCTATCTCTCTCCCTCTCTCTCTCTCACCATATGCCTTTTTCCCCAGGACCTCAAAACCATGTGGTTCTGTTCACCATTAAGCCTTCTTTTCAAGCAGTCTCCATGTTTCCAGTGTCTTTCTCCCCACTTGGAACTGAACCCAGATGGACATTTCTTCCAACATGGACTAGGCAGCTCCATAGCATGGATCAATCCCAAAGGGCATCAAGATAGAAACCCTTCAAAATAGTCAATATTGATGAAAAAGATTAAGAAAATCCTTCTTTTTTCACCCCTGATCTACAATGATTTGATGCCCTCCAAAGAGCTTCACTGATCCTTATCAGCTGAACTTTTTACATCAAAAATACATTCTGTCACTTCCATGCCTCAAAAGGTTGTAGCAAATCTACACTGTTTCTCACAGAGCTACAATAAAATGCAAATTAAGTCTTTTCCCACCACAAAATCAATTATAAATGAAAATGACTGCAAAAGTAAAGGTAAAGAGGGAAAACTGAATGCTCAAATATGCACAACACTGCTGTGGGTATATATGCATAGTCAAGTTGAGCTTATCTACAAGCAACAGCCTCAACATGGGTCAAAATGCAAAATAGTGGTCATGAAATTATGATTAAAACACCCCCTCTTTGTACAGGAATTGCCATTGGCAAATATACAAAAGTCATGGGGTACCGGATAGTGTTGCTTAGAAGTTTGACAGTTGAACAGATGCTAAGAATCTTCTTTCTGGTAAAGGATCTCAGTTGAAAAGATCAACTGCATTCATGAGCTAGAAATCAAAGGATAAAGAATACTTTGGCTTCAGGAGCCAGTTAAAGAAACTTTGGGGGACACATTCAAAGAAGGGTGGACATTCCATGAAATCATTGCAGACCAAGTATTCTTTCCCAATAATTTAATAATGGTTCGATAGTAATTTTTTTACTTCATGTCTAAGCTTTAAATTCTGCAGCAAGGTAGAAATTACTCAAATGCCTTTTAAAAATCTTAACAATATTCTCAATTTTTGCATAGGCACATCCCCTTTCTTTGTGTAACGATCCTTGCCAAACAGGGCATAGCAAGACCAAGAACGAATCAAGACCATTTTGCTGCTATGATTGCCATCCATGTCCAGAAGGGAAAATTTCAAACAAAGAAGGTAAACATTTTTGAGAAGTAATGGAATAAGCTACCTTATTAACAGGGTTACTTATTTGGATTATTTTTTTATTTTGAATATTTATATGACTACCAATGTCATACAAGTGACTGGGTAGTGTACAAAGATTAAAACATAGCTTTCCCTATGTGTTGAAATTCCCTTGCATTTAAAGCTATTCATAGTGAAAAGGATTGTGAAAATACATTACATACATATTTGTAATCAAGAATGATATACAGAAAATAACATAGTATGTGATATCCAAGGTAGAATGAAATGCATGGCAGGTAAAGGCTTTGGGTATGGGCCAAGATTTCTGGCCCTCAATTATTCTCTAATCCTCAGAAGTCCTCAGTGAATATAATTTCATATTAAAATGGTTAAGTAGTCAATGTCACTGTTGATAATTAACTTCTGTCTCAGAGTTATGCAACACTAAGGCTTGATGAATGAAAAACAAGGCACAGAATTGTTGTTGTTGTTTTTTCCAGATATGGAAGACTGTTCTCATTGTCCAGAAGGTCATTATTCAAACCGTGACAAAGATGCATGCATTCCAAAACGCATAACTTTCTTATCCTATGAAGAACCCTTGGGGATCAGTTTAGCTACTTGTGCTCTTTCTTTTTCTTTTATCACAGCTCTGATGCTTGGGATCTTCATTAAACACAAATACACCCCTATAGTCAAAGCCAACAACCGGAATCTCACCTACACTCTTCTAGTTTCTCTCCTCCTCTCTTTTCTTTGTGTTTTATTATTTATTGGGAAACCTGATAAGATTGTGTGTCTCCTTCGACAACCAGCTTTTGGAATCATCTTCTCCATGGCAGTTTCTTGTGTCTTGGCCAAAACTTTTGTTGTGGTCCTAGCTTTCATGGCCATTAAGCCAGGATCTAGTATGAGAAAATGGATGGGGAAAGGAATGGACAGTTTCATTGTTCTTTTTTGTTGCCTCATTCAAACCACTATCTGCATAATATGGCTGGCAATTTTTCCACCATATCCAGATTTTGATGTGCACTCAATGTCTGAAGAAGTTATCATGGAGTGCAATGAAGGATCAGTCACCATGTTCTACTGTGTGTTGGGTTTTCTGGGTTTTCTGGCAGTGATTAGCTTCTCTGTTGCTTTTCTAGCTAGGAAGTTACCTGATACTTTCAATGAAGCTAAATTCATAACTTTCAGTATGTTGGTCTTCTGCACTGTTTGGTTGTGCTTTATTCCTACTTATATAAGCACAAGGGGAAAATACATGTTGGCTGTGGAGATCTTCTCCATGATCTCCTCCGGTGCTGGCTTATTGATGTGTATCTTTTTTCCCAAGTGTTTTATCATTGTGATGAGACCTGAACTGAACAATAAGCATCAGTTAATGAAAAAAACCATTTTAAACTTCAGCTATGTCAGCATCAAATTGTTATAAGCCCCCAATTGTGGACATCTTTAAAAAGAGTTATTTTATAAAATTATTATTTTAGGGTGAACTGAGGAAATGGGGAGCCTTCTTAATTATGGTTCCCATTTATCTTGTTATTTCCAACTCCATTATCATTTAGTGCTACAATTTCCTCCCTCCCTCCCTCCCTCTTTCCTACCTTGTGACATGTGTCAAGAATTCTTATCTATAAATGGAATACAAGTTTTATTTATACAGTGAGCTGACTTTCATGATTTGCAACTTACCAATTGTATTTTAAAATAAAATATTTCAATTATTAATTAATAATTCTTGATATTTTAAATAACCACTCTAATAAATGGAAAGTCAAATCTTTAATAAGTCAGCATGATTTAGTAATTAAAATGCTGGACTAAAATCAGAAAGACACAGATTTACATCCATCCATTGACACAAAACCAGCCATGCTTCTCCAGCGAACTTATCTTATAGTTGTTGTGAAGAAAAATTGGAAGAGGCAATCAGTCAAGAGCGTGTTAAGGTCCTAGAGGCAATCTAACCAATACATTAACAAATGAGTCCTGTGTCAGTGTTCCAAGTAATGCACCCATAGAAAGCAGAACTCCGAGGCAGGCAAATTCCTCAAAGAACAGTTTATTGGATACATCATATTGACACAACTGGTGAAAGCCAACTCCAGCGTTCCCGTACCTTTCACCTAATTGAAAAGTAAAAGTTTCTCCCCTTTCCCCAAGTCACTGGTCACGATGTCCAATCCAGGTGCTGGCCGGTTGCTTGGTTACTTCACTCCTCCTCTGGCCAGCCACCTATGAGAATGTGCTTGGTTCCCACAGGAAAATTTTATTGTTTTGGCTACAAAGCCCCATCTAACTATTTTCCCCCTTGCTCTATTGGGTGGCAAACCTGAAGCCTCCAAGATGGCCTCAGTCACGTTCACTTCAGGGTTGCTTAAGAAATGGTCTTAAAAGAACAACAAAAGTATAAAAGGCCTTTTCTGAATCAATCACTGAATAGAGAGAAGAAGTTACGTTCTCTGGCTGTCAATCAAATGTTTTCTTCATGCCTTCTCCTAGCAACCTGGCCTAGAAGATGGATTGCTGGAATCAGGTTAGAAGTTTCAGGGTGATATTATTTTCATCTGCTGCAAGTGCAGTTATGGTCACACTATAGAATTTATTGCATTCTGTTATTGAAGGAATATAAATTAATGCATTAACATTCTATTGGTCTCCATGTCTGTTACTGGCTTGGAGATCTTGTTGATGCATATATTCATCACTGCTTTACTCTGTCAACTCCTTTATGGTCCCTCTTGTTATGCCCATTTTTATTTTTATTTTGTTGCAATTATTGAGGCAATTCTTCACAAAAGGGAATGTAAAAAATGAAGATAGGGATATAGCTTCTTTCTCTTATTTACAGCTTTCAGTAAATAAAATCTTTCAAAGCCCCAGAGAGCAGTAGGGAAATTCCAGACGACTGGAAAAGTGCTGATGTGGTTCCAATCTACAAAAAGGGGAAAAAGTGGATCTAAGAAACTATAGCTTCATATCAACACCTAGGAAGGTGTTGGAAATCATAATCAAGAAGTGGATTTGTGAGCAAGACAATTACTAGAAGCCACAATAGGTTTGTCAAAAATAGATTATGCCAGACAAACATTATTGTCTTCTTTGACAAAGTGACTAAATTAGAAGATAAGGAAAATACTATGGACATAATTTACTTAGACTTCAGTAAGGCATTCGATAAAGTAGAATTGCAGCTTACTTCTTGGTAAGATAGAACAATGTGGAACAGACAGTACCACCACCAGATGTATTCACTGGGTGACCAACCATAGTCAGTGGGAAGTCCTTAGTGGAACTATATCTACATAGGGGGAAGTAAGCGATGGCCAACTTTAAGGTTCTGTCTTAGGCCCAGTGCTCTTCAATATCTCTATAAATGATCTAGATAAGGGGATAGAAGGGCAATTCATCAGAGTTACAGATGACACCAAGCTGGGGGGAATAGCTAACACTTTATAATATAAATTCAACATTTGGAAGGATCTTGATAGACTTGAATACAGAGCCCTATCCAACAAAATGCAATTTAGTGGTGAGAAATATAGGGTTTTACATACAGTATAGGCAAGAAAAACCAAATACACAGGCACAGAATAGGTTGTATTTGGTTCAATAATTTCAATAAAAATTTTCTTGATATCATTCTCTGCTTATTGTTTTTGGGGAACGTGGCATGTTTTATTTTGAACTGAAATACATTTTTTTCTGTGTGCAAGAGCTCAGAATTTTGGGTTAGTTATTATAATTAAACATTGGTTACCTGTTTCTCTCTTTGAAACCCATGGGATTCCAGGGCAAATGAAGACATGAAATATGTTATTACTATTTCCCATGATATTCCATAGATGGAAGCCCCAAACCTATGTGAGTTTATTCGATAGTATGTTGCACTGCCTATTTCTGTCTGAAAAACAGAAGAAGAAGTCAGGTCTCTTGGAACTATTTGGAAACATTCAAGGATCATGTGGCAGACAGGGGTATTTGTATACAGAAAGAAGCCATTCATGGAAGACGGTCCTATTCCTGCAATCATTGTTTCTGTTAATGCCTCAAGTGGTGTGCAAGGAATCCATCCATCATTGTGATTTGGATGAGCCTCTTCCTATTCATCACACATATCATCAGCTTGGAAATGTTAACATTGCAGGCATTATTTCTGTATTCTCAACATATTCTGATCCCCTTGATTTCAGTCAACATCCTTCTCTGGGATTTCAAGATAGACTTATGTAAGTACATCATCAATTTATTTTCAACCTCTGGACCTTCCTGTTCAATCATATGATGATCAAAATGATCTCTTGTAATAACAAAAACTCCAGATACAAACACATTAAATAGAATTTTCAATTAATTCCCATGTAAAGTTGAAAAAAAAAATAAGAAAGACGAATCTCTATTATAATAAATGGAGATGTTCTAATTTCTAACATCTCTAATTTATAAATAGAGATGTTGCTGCAGATTAATTTATAAATCTATAACTAAAACTGGGAGGTGGATATATTTCCCCTGATAACTTTTATCATTGGAAACTTACAGTGCCAAAATTAATCAATTTCCTTGTGGATATAAACATTTTTAGAAGATGGAGTTTGATATTGGTCCTTTTTCATGTATTTAAAAATATTTCTTATAATTTCAAGATAGTGTTCATCTTGTATTAAAAAATAACTCCAGATTCTGGAGGAGTATATATGTGCTTTGCTCTGAATTTTCCAGAATTCTAGCCAAATAGTAAATATTTTGCAGTAATAAGCACAATAATAAACACAAAATACAAGCTGAGTGGACACGACCTTGTAGATGATCCTTACTCTGTCAAGGACCTTGGAGTACTCATATCTAATAATCTACGTGCCAAAGCCTACTGTAATAACTTTGCCAAAAGGCATTAAGAATTGTAAACCTAATCTTGCATAGCTTCTTCTCTGGTAATATTACACTACTAACCAAAGGACACAAAACATTTGCTAGACCAATTCATGAATACAGCTCATCTGTCTGGAACCTGCACTGCATATCGGACATTAATACAATTGAGCATGTCCAGAAATATTTCACAAGAAGAGTTCTCCACTCCTCTGCTCGCAACAAAATATCTTATGCCACCAGACTTGAAATTTTGGGCTTAGAAAACTTAGAACTACTCCGCCTTTGGTATGACCTAAGCAGAGCTCATAAAATCATCTGCTACAATGTCCTACCTGTCAATGACTACTTCAGCTTCAACCACAACAATACATAAGGAAACAATAGATACAAACTTAAAGTTAACCACTCCAAACTCGATTGCAGAAGACTTCAGCAACTGAGTGGTCAATGTCTGGAATGCACTCCCTGACTCTGTGGTTTCATCCCAAAACCCTCAAAATTTTATCCTAAGGCTGTCTACTGTTGACCTCACCCCATTCCTAAGAGGTCTGTAAGGGGCGTGCATAAGAGCACCAGCGTGCCTACAGTCCCTGTCCTAATGTTCCCTTTATTTGTATTCATTTTATGTATTCAATTCATGCTTAAACTTATATATATTGTCTAATATGTGCTTGACAAACAAACAAACAAATAAATAAATAAAAATACATCAACTTATTATACTACCAAAAGTTAAAACCTGTCATATTGTGAAGCAGACCCTTCTTAATATATGATGTAATTTTTGCTACAGAATATTGTTTCAGAATTACCAGCACATCCTTGCCTTAGCATTTGCTATCAAAGAGATCAATGAAAATACCCAGATCCTACCCAATGTCACTCTGGGCTTCCAGATTTATAACAGCAATTTCAGTCCAAGTTGGACTTATCTTGCCTCAATGATGCTTCTCTTAACTCAGGGCAGATTCATCCCTAACTACAAGTTTGGGGTCCCAAAATATTTGGGTGCAGTCATTGGGGGACCTGACATCTCTCTCCATATGGCAATTCTTCTGTGCATCTACAAAGTCCCTCAGGTAAGATATGTAGTGTATGTATGGCACTACCTGAAGAAGCCTAGAGTGTTAGCTTTTACTGTATAATAAAGAGCATGGTCAAATTCTATAGAACCTTTTGATAGATGATCAGTTTTAGCTTGTTGCTAAAATATTCCTAAATAATAGAAATAACGTTGATAGTGTTCAGGAAGCTTTTAAGATGACTAATAGTCCTTGTTGATGAATGAAACTCATTTGGCACACAACAATCCATGTCTTGTAATTCAGTGAACATTTATTATCACCAATAAAGGTATGGAAAAAAGGATGCAGTGGCTCAGTGGCTAAGATGCTGAGCTTGTAGATCAAAAGGTTGGCACTTCAGCAGTTCGAATTACTAGTGCCGTGTAATGGGATGAGCTCCCGTTGCTTGCCCCAGCTTCTGCCAACCTAGCAGTTCGAAAGCACGTAAAAAATGCAAGTAGAAAAATAGGGACCACTTTTAGTGGGAAGGTAACAGCGTTCTGTGCACCTTTGGCATTTAGTCATGCTGGCCACATGACCATAGA